TTGTTATCCTTCTGCCTGATTTTTCTACAAGTGTGTTGCCATGGTCCTTTGCAGGCCCAGCCCAGCCATCTTTAGCTGCTGTTCAGGTGGAAGATGCCTATCTCTGCGCAGCCTTTGCTTGAACATTTACAGCATTCTTCAAGATCTGCCCATGTGGAAGTGCATCCAACAGACATCATCACACTTGGGTTGGAAATATCATTATTTACTTTAAATCTACATGAGGCTTTCATTGGCTTCCTCTTTTGCAGACATCTGTGACAGTCCCAGGAATATTTAAAGATACTAGAGCAAGACTGAAGCCATTTTAACACATCAGGCCTTTTGGCCAAGGCCGGGTGGATGGAAGCGTGCTCTGTTTTGGTGTGAAATGCCTCACGTTTCAGCTAGGCTGAGGGCCGCTTTGGTGGAGTGTCTCTGCAACATGCGACTGTCATGTTTTGTTCTGTCACCACCACACTGCTCTCATCAAAAGCAGGTGCTGGTTTGAGAAGGGCCCATCCCCTCCTCTTGGGAAGGTGCTGCTTGCTGCCCGGCTGCAGGAGGTCTCAGCAGTGGCAAATCCAAGAGGCATTAGGAGAGCTTCATTCCCAGGGACAGACCTTTCCTCACTTTCCGAATGCGTTACCTCTGCTGAGCCAACGCCTTTATTCCACTCCTGTTTGGTTTTCCAAAGCTAGGGAGAGCTGCTGGAGACAGAGCTGAGAGGAGGTGATGCTGGGCAGCTTGGGTGTAAGGCTCAGAGGTCTGGTGGCTGTCCCTGAGCAGCCAAATACCTGCCAAAGGAGAGGTTCGCTGTGGTAGGGTTCCTTGGGAAGGTTCCACCTAGAGAGCAGGTCACTGCTCTTGGGACCCCATCTGTCTGCCTCAGTGTTTTTAACCCACATGGCTAAATGTGGGGAGAGACTTCAGCCCTTAAAATGAACAAACCTTGAACTTCTAACTTCAAGTGTTGCATAGTTAAGGCTTGGACAGCAAGTTACATCTCTCCCTGAGAGAGAGCCTTGACCACTAAGCTAAACAGTTTGCTAGGAAAGTGATCTGCTGCTTTAACTCTGTTTGAAGAAGTGAAACAAATATTTATTTAAGGGGGAGAAGGGAGAATGGGAAGAAAGACAGTTCACCCGGTAAAAAATCCTTTGTTAAGGTGCAGTCATGACCGTTGGTTATTTCCCAATCCCATTACAAATGAACTCAAGTGGTGTTTCTGGGACTCTTTCAGTGCTGTTCTCCTCGCTTCCGCATCCAGTTCTCTGGTATTTGACCTGTCTTATCTCTGCCTCGGATATCCCTGCTCCAGATATCCCTGTTCCCATCCTTCACACCACCGCACCCCTGCCCTGTGCCTGTTCAGTCCCTCACGACCTGCCTCAGCCCACACCCCCTGCCTCCCTCTGAGGCGGGAGCCAAGATGGTGGCACCGCTGTCCCGCATGAGGAGGGGCGCAAAGTCAGTGCGGGAGGGGTCTCACTGTGAGACCTTGTGGGAGAGTCCCTGATGTGCGGTGGTGGTTGGTGTGCTGTCGTGGTTGGTGCACCGTGGTGGTTTGGTGTGGTTGGTGTGCGGTGGTGTTGGTGTGCGGTGGTGGTTTGGTGTGGTTTGGTTGGTGTGCGGTGGTGGTTTGGTCGGTTGGTGGTGGTGGTTTGGTTTGGTTGATGTGCGGTGGTGGTTTGGTTTGGTTGGTGTGCGGTGGTGGTCGATGTGCAGTGGTGGTTTGGTTTGGTGTGGTTTGGTTTGGTCGGTATGCGGTGGTGGTTTGGTCGGTGTGGTTTGGTCGGTGTGCGGTGGTGGTTTGGTTTGGTCGGTATGCGGTGGTGGTTTGGTTCGGTGTGGTTTGGTCGCTGTGGTTTGGTTTGGTCGGTGTGGTTTGGTTCGGTCGGTGTGCGGTGGTGGTTTGGTTTGGTTTGGTCGGTATGCGGTGGTGGTTTGGTCGGTGTGGTTTGGTTTGGTCGGTGTGCGGTGGTGGTTCGGTCGGTGTGGTTTGGTTCGGTCGCTGTGGTTTGGTTCGGTCGGTGTGTGTCGGTGCCTCTCCTGCGCCGGGCTGCGGGCAGGCACCCCGAGGCGCGCAGGGGCTCGGTCCCCGCCGCTGCCCTCCCGCAGCCCGGCGCAGGCTGCGGTGCGTGTGAGGGCGCCGCCGCTGGCGGGGCGGGCGCAGCGGGGCGGCTTTGTGCGCGGCGCTAATCCGGGCCGCAGCTGCTATTGGCGGGCCCGTTGCCGTGGTGACGGCCCCGCCGGCGGCCGCCTTTGTTGGGGCCCGGCGCGGCGGTGGCGGCGGGGGGGGGTCGGTTCGCTGCCACAATAGCAGCCCGCCGGGGGCTGCCACTCAGGCCCGGCTGTGGCTGTGAGGTCGGTGCAGGCCCGGCTTGCCCCCAGCCTGGGGCCGCCGGCGTTTGGGCTTTGGTGGGAGCCGGCCGTGGTACCCCCGTCCCCTCGTCCGTGGTACCCCCGTCCCCTCGGCCATGGTACCTCCGTCCCCTCAGCCATGGTACCTCCGTCACCTTGGTGTTCAATGCTTCATGCAAGGCTCTGGTAGTTCTGTGCCTCAGGAATCTCTGCAGCAGCTGGTCCCGATCCCTTCACCTAGCAAGAGCTAGGGGCAATCTGGGGCACCCCATTGGGCAGGGTGCTGGAAATGGCTTGCTCTCTGTGGACACAAGTGAGGCCTTTCTCCTGGCTCTGCAGTGTCCCGCTGGCCTTTGTAGGCTCCAGCACTAATTCTCCTGGTTGCAGGTCCCCAGTTTGCCTCACAGCACTGGCTCTGTGTTGTCTGATACCACCCAACTCGCCTCACCTGTTGCCTTGGAAGGGGACGAGAAGATGCTTGTGTAGGTTTTGTTGGCAATAAAACCCATGAGTTATAGCCATATGCAGAGTTGAGACTCTAGAGTTGAGTGGAGCGAGACTATTCATATATTATGTGTGTATACACTTACATATCTGTCTATCATACATTCAGTTCATGCCAGGAACTGGCTTTCAAATAGAGTGTGTGTGTTACTGTAAATACGATTTTGCAAGATGAGTGTGGTTTGGGGTGCTGACACCTGATCTCGACGCACCAGCAGAAACTCAGAAGGTTCGGATGGAGGAAGGCTGCAGCTCTTCTCTTGGTGTATGGAGTGCAGTTTGGGATTAAGGAGTGCCCAGGCATTGTCTCTGGGATGCTGTTGGGAGGTGGGTTTGTGTGGGGATGTGTGCAGGCCTCTGCCACTTGCAGTTGCTCCCACTTTGCAGGCTCTGCAAAGAAGAGGTTGTTGCTGGGGCTAGTTGGGCAGAGTAAGTCAGCAGCTGGGCTGTGCTCATCCGTGCTGGGTTTTTCTTCCTTCTGCCCATCTCTCATCATGATCGGATGGGAGGTTTGCGGGCTCAGTTGCCTGAGTTGAAGTCACTGGGAGTGCCACCGCTGCAGAGCGATGTTGACACAGCTTTCTCCCAGTGTTTACTGGGGAGGAGGATAGTTACGTGCCCAGCCTTTTTGTGATCTGGATGGAGGAATGGATCTAGCTAATAAATGAACAAAATTAGACAGTAATATTTGAAGTATTTTTAAGCCACATCAGATTTGCTTTGGGTCTGTGTGCAGTATTACATCCCCCATGGCTCCAGCTGGATGCCTGGCGTGTTTCTCAGGTGCCTGTTGACTTGGCTGAGGGAGGCTGAGCTGGGACTGGAAGAGCAGGAGATGAGCAGGAGCCAGGTTCTGTTATCACCTGAGGTGGACGTGTTGGACAAGCCCAAGGGCATCAGAGATGATCTCTGTCTGCTCATGATGGCATTGGAAACGTTAGCAAGGGCTCCTCCCATCTTCGTGGCGCTGAGGTGGCACCGGATGTCCCACCTTGTCCGGGGGGGCTGAGGCCAGGAGCCCTCTCCTGTCCCTGATGGAGCTGTGAGCTCTTCACCAGCAAAGCCAGTGGCTGCCGGCTCCAGGGTACGGGCAGCGCTCTACCCTCCCTGGTGGGCTGTTCTGTAGAAGGCAGCGATGCAGATGCTTCCTGGGAACGAGGAATGGAAGTAATCCATCCTCCCGCGGAGCTGCCTGCTCAGGGGGTGGCTGTCTTGCATGGAGGAGGAGGATGAGGAGGGCCGGGGCAGCTGCTGGCTGGAGACTGCTGCCTCCTCCCCTGAGCACTTGCACGTCCAGTTTCATAATCGGATTAAGGCAGTGGTATTAGAGAGGAGGGATGGGTCAGTGGGACAGGTTTACACTGGGGCTTACACGGAGGGGATTGAAGTGTCTATTTTAACCCTGCTCGGCCTGACCCGCGGAGCGGTGCAGATGCGGCTCTGCGCGGCGGCACCCGGCGGGAGGATGGGGGGGAAAGTGGCACCAGGCGGTGCTGCGCTCGGTGATGCGCTCGGTGATGATGTGCTCGCCGGGGAGGAGAGCAGCCCCAGGCCGGCGGGGGGATGGGAGCCGGCCGCCCCTCCCCCCGGGAAGGCAGCCCTGCTCAGGCCTTGCAGTAAATTTGCTCTAATTACAGCCTCCAGCAGTGGGAAACCTCACTTAGAGGAAAGGCTCCTCTGGGGTGGGGGCAGGGGCGCTTCCCAGCTTACCCAGGCAGGCTCTGTTGTCTGAGGCCTCCGCTTCCCCTGTCGCTGGGAGGCCCCTTATTCCTCTCCCCTCTCCAGCTTTGCTTCTCTCCCCCCTCTTTAATTCTCCACTCCTTTGAGGCCGGGATTTGGGAACAATGCCTTCCCTGCTCCTTGCCCCCCGGCTGGAGCCACAGGCAGGCGGGTCCTTGCTGCCAGGGGCTGGGCTGAGGGGGCTCAGCTCAGCAGCACCTGCCCTGGGCTGGTGGGGGACCATGCTGGTGGTGGCCTGGGAAGTCCCTGGTTGTGGTAGCTGACGTGGGTGTGCACATCCTTTTGCCTTCGTGGAGATAGGAGGTCTTATCTTAATCCCCTCAGGTCTGGGGAGTCCTGGGAAGGTCTGTGCAAATGTGTCAGAGGATGCTCGTGGCAATACAATAATCTGATCAGAGCCCTTCTCTTTGCAGGTGGATGATGCGATGCTGATGTTTGACAAGACAACTAACAGACACCGAGGTGAGAATGGTCTTCCTGCTGCAGGAGAGGGAACTGGGAGGGTTTGTATCCCAGCAGCAGGGGATGTGGGGCGCAGCTGCTCTTTATCTTGCCTCCAGTCACCCCATTCTTTTGCATCTGCATCCTTTACCAGCGTCCCTGCAGCACAGAGAGCTTTTGTCCAGTGCGTTTCCTGTGCTGTAAACTTGCCGAGTTGCAGATATGTGAGAGGAGACGGCCCCCTCCCCTGCCCGCTTACCTCCATGGCTGCAGCCCGCAGTGTGTGTCTTACCTTGTCCCGAGTAATCTGAGCTCGGGGAAAGCTGACACGAGAGCCTGAAGAGTGCCTGCTCCTCGCCTCTTCCTCGGCCTGCAGCCCGCTTGTGCTCCCAGGTCACCTTTTCTTACCCGAGTATTGCTGGAGGAGTCTGGTTACAGGATGGGAGCAAAGCTGTAATATTTGCCCTGGTCAAACCCAGCCCACCCATGGGCGTCCCAACCTCCCGCTTTCCTGCTGAATCCTTACTCCAACCACCCTGTGGCATGGCATTGCTCCACACAGGCCTTGTACCAGCTCTGGGATTTACTGCCGACAGCGTAACCTGCAAACTTAGCTTGAGCGTCCTCGAAATCAGGGCCAGCAACAGCCCTGTGCTAGGCCGCTCTCATTCATGTCTGTCTGGTGTTTGAAGCACTTCCAAGCACCTTTGCCCCTGGATCAGCGAGGGAACGCTCCTTTCTGCCCTTGCTACATTGTGTGCCCTTCAGGTTTTTGCTTTTTTTTCCAAAGACATTAAATCTAATCTGATTGCCTCTCCTCTGACATGTTTGCAGCTTCATCTGAAAAGGGAAGGAGTGTTAACCCCTGTTCCTCCATGGGTGCCTCCCAGCCACTAGTCCAATTAAAGAGCTGTTGGGCATTCTGGAAGGAGCAGGGGTTGCTCCCAGCCACTGTGTTGGCAGTGAGGGGCTCTGCCTAGGATGCAACAGCCTGGTGGGGGTCTGATGGGATTCAGGACTGGGTTTGGATTCAGGGTTTTGCTCTTCAATTCCTGATCTCCTCTGCTCACGGGTGGTGTGAAACTACCTGGCCACAGACAGGAGTTTATGGAGAGTATGGAGAAAAAGTGGGGTTCTGGGCAGCGGATCCCTGTCTTTTTTTGAAAGTTATTTTAAAGCACCATGGAATTGGCCAGCCCCTGAAAGCTCTGCTTAATCCCAGCTTGCTCATAAGGCAAGTTTAAAGACATCCTCCCACCTGCCTCAGTTTTCCGGAAGCCCTGCAGTCAGCTGAGAGCAGATTAGTCTGCGCACCCGAGCTGGGCTTTGCCAGAAGTGTCAGTAGAGGGGCTGGGGAGAGAAAGGAGATGTGAGCTTGGGCCAGCAGCCAGGAACACGGTGTCCTGCCTTACCCCAGATACCACCCTCACTTTGGTGAAACTGCAGATCGCTTTGCTTGCGTCTGACTTGCTCTGTACAAGTGCGTCGCTGAGATTTGCCTGCTTATACAAGGCTTTATGGCCAGTGACTGGCGAGGAAACGTGCAGGGTGTTGCTGCTGGTGGGGTGTGTTCAGCAGGGATGGTGAAGTCCCGGCAAGCAGCTGTTCATTTCTCCACCGACTCTTTGTGTGAGTGTCTGCTGGGATCCTCCCCAGCATTACCAGCCATGTGGTTTGCCTTCAACCAGCAAAGTCAACCAACCAAACCCAAAAGCTTGGTTTTGAGAGCTGTTGGGTTCAGAGAAGATGGGAAGTACAATATGAGGAAAGGGGAATCTGCAAGGGATTGGTCCGGTTGTTCTTGTGCATAAAAGCAAGATGAGGAGAGGGAAAGATGAGTGGCAGCTGTTTTAGAAAGGGCTGATTGTACCATCCTTCTCTTCTCCTGCCAGTAAAAGGATGTGGGTAGTGGGTGCAAACTGTACAGAGCTCTGACCTGATCAAGGTCTTTTGCCTTTTCTTCAGGGTTTGGGTTTGTCACATTTGAAAGCGAAGACATTGTGGAAAAAGTGTGTGAAATCCACTTCCATGAGATCAACAACAAAATGGTGAGTGTCTGGGGCAGAGCTGGGGAAGAAGGGACAGAGCTACGGGATGGAGTGGGGCAGTGGCACAGGCACAAGGGAATGAGGCAGTTGGGTCCCAGTACAGTGGGGAATTGAGTCTTTCCCCCCATATCACAGGAGGCAGTCTGGGAAACAGAGTGTGGAAGTGAACCAGCACAATAGTGAGGTTTTAAGAAGAAGAGCTCACTGTCATGAGCTGTTGCGGAGGTTTTGAAGTTACATGAAACTCTTGGTGGCCTGCCACGGGGCAGGTTTTACCTTTATTCAGTGCAGGGCCTGACAGAGCTGATGCTCCACCACCAAAAATCAGTGTTTGAGGTTCCCATTGCCTGTGGTGGCTGCAGAGGGAGCAGGAGAGCCCCGGAGCTGCCTGTGCTCCAATCCTTGTGCTCATGGCCCAGCCTCATCTTTGCTTTCTTGTGGCAGGTGGAGTGTAAAAAAGCTCAGCCGAAGGAGGTGATGTCCCCAACGGGCTCGGCGCGAGGGCGATCCCGAGTCATGCCTTACGGGATGGATGCCTTCATGCTCGGGATCGGCATGCTGGGTAAGCCCAAGGACACATCTCCTCCCAGCTCCCGGTCGTGCCAGGCAGCAGCTTAGAGGTTTTATTCCGAGGGCGGCCAAGGGCAGCTCTCCCTGGAGCGAGGCCGGGGACGCAGAGGGGGGTGCCGGGACCTGTTTGCGATCGCAACTTGCCCTCTGGTGGCACCTGAGTAAACTGCAAACTTGTCCCTGGTGCCCTGCGACAGCCGGAGCTGGCCCGGGGCTGAGCGCGGCTCCGTTAATGGCCGCGCAGTGCACTTGGGCTGTGATTCTTCAGTGCCTCCCGTGGCTCAGGATCCATAGGCGAACCGAGCGTGGGGTGATCTGTGCCCAGGCAGCTTCGTCCCCCACTTCTACAGGCTTTCTGATACATTCGTTGATTAAAGAGCTTCTGAGTTTCCACTTGAATCAGCAGCACATATAAATGTCCTCGCTGCCTTTTCTAGACTGTAAAAATGCCCTTGGGGTTCTAGTTAAGCTTTGTTTCACTTTGTTCCCTCCCTCTCAGGGCCAGCAAGTGTCTGGTGTTGCAGGGAAAACCATACACTTAACCATGGGACTGTGCAGGCTGGGGTTCATGGCTGTCGCTGATTCTCAGACAGATGTGTTCATTTTTTAAAGTCCTTTTTAGCCTCCATTTCCAGCTCTACAAACCCTCATGCCTGGACCTGAGAGTCAAGCATGATCCTTCCAGCATAGTGCTGTTCCTGGCTCCTCTCCCCACATTCTGGCCAGGCTTGAGCTGCCCCAAGAGCACAGTGTTTGCTCAGCATCATGGCTGGTGTTGCTGGGCAGGGTGTACTCAGCCTGACCCTCCTTGCTAAGCCTGCCCAGTAGCAGTTAGTCACTGAACAAAACCCCAAAGAGGGCATTTCCCCCCCCCCCCCAGTGTTTTCTCTTGACTTATTGAAGGAAAATAAATCTCCAGCCTGTGGTTTTGGGGTTTGCCTTGTCTGTATTTTAAAGCAGCAGGGCTCAAGCTGAGTCACTGGGAAATCCACATACTCAAGTCTGGTGAGATCTCAGATCAAATATTCATCTCTGAGTCAATGCCCTGGTTCTCCCAGGCTTGCTCTGTATAGGTGGTCAGCTTCCTGGGGAGCAGCAGGGATTGTCCTCCTGCCCGGCGCCAGGCAGGAGCGCTCTGCCTGCATTTGCCAGCACTTCTACTGCAAAGTGACTCAGAGCTATTCAGTTCTTCAGATGCCCCACCTCCCCGATCTCCTGAATCCAGCTGATGCATCAGAAAGCCTTAGTCTGCAGAGCTGTGAGTTCCTGAGAAGGAAAATCTCCATGTCCTTACATGTTTGGAGTGAGGAAAAAAAGGAATGGGCCTGCTAAAACTCTCTTGCAGGCTTGCACGGTTTGTGCATCTGCCCAGCAGTTTCCTGGGCTTTCTGCTGTTAGCCCTGTTTGTGCTTTCTAACACTAATGGTCACACTGCTTGTGAGCAGCCAGGCACTGAGGACATGATCCCTGCAAGCTTGCAGTAACAGAGCCCTTTTCTCTTCTCCCAGGTTATCCAGGCTTCCAAGCTGCCACCTATGCGAGTCGGAGTTACACTGGCATTGCACCTGGCTACACTTACCAGTTCCCTGGTGAGTGGTGCTCCTGCTCTGGTTTTTGGTTTGCCTTCACGTGATGGGAGTCCCTGGAATGATCCGTGACCTGAGCTCTGCCCCCTTCACCCTTTCCCCTGTTTGGTCTTTCATTAAATTGGAGGTGGATGTGGAAGGGGGAGGGGAGAATCCCTGGAATAGGTGGGAACAGCCTGTCCTTCATTAGGATTATCCTCACACTCCAGTGGCAGGAAAAGCCCAAGGCTGCTCTGACTCCCCTTATGCTAGCCCCTCCGCAGGGCTGCTGCTGTGACACAGAAGGGCCCCTGCAGCTCCGCCTGTCTCGCTGCCTTTGTGTATCTCTGTCTCTCTACCAGAGTTGTCACTACTCTCAGAGTAGCACAGAATTTTAAACCATGGTTTTCCATGGACCCAGGCACCCAAACCACAGCCTGCAGCGCTGCAGTTGGGTTATGAACAGTGCCTGGGCAACTCCCAGCTTCCAGAAAGCATCTGCTGGGGTAGGGGGCTGCAGATCCCCCCCAGACTGGGTGGTTCCAAGCTCCAAACACGGCCATGTGCTCAAAACATGGATTTTGCGATCAATAGCTGGAACCTGCTGTGCTGCAGCTGCTCTGGGGCCTCTTCTCCCTCCCATTCTCTGTGAGACAGGGGAATGAGGCAGAGCATGCTCAGAGAAGAGACTGTCTTGCTGTTTTCTAGAGAAGTGGCAACTCTGAGCATCCCTTCCTTCCTCCATCCCTCAGTGTGATGGTTTATATATGAAGTCTTGATGTTAGGGGCTGGGAATGGGAAGTTTCCTTTTTGCCTGAGGCAAGCCCAGGCTGACTGTGGCTGAAAGTTGCTGTTGCCTCCTAGGTGTCTGGAAGATCTTCATGAATCCAGTTTATGGGTCTCACCTGTAGTGGCTTCAAGTGCCTCATTGTAAACCCGTGCCCAGATGAGGGTGGCACATACTGAGCACCCACTGGCGTTGTAGCCATGGGTTGGATTGGGTGGGTCACAGAGCAGTGTTACAGGGCAGACCTGAGGCTGCACGGTGGAGCTTGCACTCACAGTGCCTTAGTGAGATTTATTCTAAAGATAAATGGATCCTTTCAGTCTCCAGGGCAGGAGTCCAGCACCTTTCAGCACAGTTGTAAATCAGTTTAAAGAAGACCCTGGCCTGGTGACAGGCTGCTCCCGCAGCAGACCCTGGCTGTTGTCTCTCTGTGGGGTCTCCCTCGGGGCATTGCTCAGTTCCTAAGCTGTGTTGCATTTCGTTTTTAGAGTTCCGTGTAGAGCGGACCCCTCTCCCGAGTGCCCCCGTCCTCCCTGAGCTCACAGGTCAGTCCCGCTCGTTTCCTACGCTCACAGCCTGGAAGGGGAGAAGGGGACTTTGGGTTGTTCCGGTGGTGTCGCTGCTCCACAGCCTGGTGCAGTTACACTGGAAGGGTTCCTTGTTTCCTCTGCCATCCGTATGGGCTCCATTCAAAGCTGGGGCTGGGAAGATGGAGAGGCAATCAGAGCCATGTGTATTGCCTCTGAGAAGGGCAGTGCAGGTCATACCAAATGAAGGCCTGTAATCCTCAGATTGCATTTCCTGCTGCTTGCCTTGTTTTTCGCTCCTTGCCCCAGGCTGGATGTAAACCAGATACAGAAAACTGCAGAGAGCAGGGGGACTTCTCAGAGGTCTACAAATGACCTTAACCTGAGCTGCTGCAAGGACAAGATTTGGAGTGCTGGGAGGAGGGAGAGGGCATGGGGGCACTCCTGGTTGCTCTAATCCCATTTCCCTGTGCAGGGGGGACTGCAGGCAATGCTTTCCATACTCTGGGTGGTGCAGCTCACCAGCTACTCCCACATGAGCTTCCCAAGCAGAAGCAAGCATGGTACACAAGTCTTGCAGTGCTTATAGGGAACTGTGGAATGAAATGGGGACAGGCAGCCATTCCTCAGAGGCTAGTCCTGGCTCAGTGTCTTCGCAGTGCAGCTACCCTCTGGATCCTGGGTTGTGTGCAGTGTGTTCTCCCTAGGTGATGCTTGTTCTGTCTGCTCCCCCTTCCATGGCCATGTTTTCCCCAGCTCTGTCCTGTCCATGGTTTTTGTTGTAGAAAAGCAGCTTCATGTAGCCCTCTGCTCCCCATGTGCCATCTCATCTCCGTGGTGTTCCTTCTCCCAGCGCTTCCTTGCCCCCACCTGTTTCAGGGTCTGAATCTCTCTGCAGTGGGGGTGTGGAAAAGCTTCCTGGGAAGCTCTCCTGGCATTAGTGGTACAAACAGGCTTAAAAGGGAGTTTCTGTGGCACAGAATCATCTTGATCCTCAGGGAGTCTGTTCCTGAGGATGCTGAGGTTGGCAGCCACCAATGAAGAAATGTCCCTGACTGAGGTAGGGGGAGACTGAATCCTAGCTCACTGTTCATAAAACCCTTCCCTTACACTATGTGTGCAGCTGTGTACACACCTGACCCCCACCTCTGAGCCTTTTGGTTGCCAAGCAAAGGAGATGTGGGTCCAGTTGTTTATTTACACATCTGTTTTTCAAGTAAACCCCCTAAAATCTGTAGAGGAACGTTGGTCACTTGGCACAAGTCCTTTTCCCTCTGGGGCCCACCCCTGCCAGCACTGTGGCTTTTGCTAGCAGAGGTGAATTGCCCGGGGCCTGGCTGTCACCAGTGGCTGGGGTGCACCAGGGCTCTGTACAACAAGAAGTTATTAATGCTGCTGTCCTGGCTGGTTGCCACATCAGCTTACAGTCCTGAGTGTCTGCTGAAGGACCAGCTGGGGATCGTGGCATTCTTCCCTTCTCACTACGCTTACCTACTGTTAAACAGCCCCTGTGCAGCCTCTTAGCCAGGCACAGAGCTGCAGTTCCCATGTATAGGCTGGAGTTGGTCCCATGAAGGGCAGAGCCTCCTTTGCTCCTACAAAGGCCCAGCGAGCTGTGCAGTGCTCGAGGGCCCTTGTGCCTTCAAGTGGGTGCGTGCGTGTCAATGGGCTGCGCTTCATGGGCTTGGCAAGTGGAACTGGGATGAGGGGCTGGCACAAGCAGAAATGATTTCTCCAACACACAGGGAGCTCACATGCAGGTGCTAACCTGGTGTCTCAGTAGATAGACTGCAAAGGCAAGAAGGGTTTTTACTTGGAAAAAAGAGCTGCAGTCTTTTTCAGGAGGACCTGGCCACATTAATTTAGCTGTGTGTCGGAGACTTGAAGCAATGATGGGGCAAGAGGGTGGCTGTTAGCAGCCTTTCCTCCATGGAACAGCATCTTTGGGGGTGATACGAAGCAGCAACATGCTCACATTGGCCCAGGGCCTGTAATGAGCAGCTAACCCAGATATAAGCCTCCTATGACGTTGACTTGAAACAGGCTGGTGCCTGCTACTAAATATTCCCTCCTAAGCTAGTCTGAGTTTCAGCCTTAACGCGATTGATTTGTTCTGACCTCTTTTTATGGTGCTCTAAACAGCATCACAGTGAATTTCACATTCAAGCATGAAATGCTGACCCAGTCATTTTAAGGGCAAAGAGAAACATACTGGCTAGATGCCTCCTGCCCTGAGGGCTGGATGCCTGCGGCAGTAGAGTTGGGAATTGGAACTGCTACATATAAATTAAGACTTACCGTTTCAATTAAGCCATTTCTAGTTCCTGCTCCCTAGGTATATGTTTTCTTTTCTTCTGCAATGAACAGCAAGGGTTTGAACCGTTCCGGAGCAAAACTCAGAGGATGGTGTGTCTTGAGCAGAGAAATCAGGAGAAAGAGGCTATTAAACTGTTATTCAAGAATACTACCAAGGGATGGAGAGGAGGGGCTGAGACTTGGGACACTGAGCTGACAGCTGCTGTCCCTGAGCTGCTGCCTTTCTTCACCTTTACAGCCAAAGTCTGGATCTGTAGCTTCAGATTAACTGCATTTTACAAGCTAAGTAGTGACAGGATACATCTGAATTTGCCCACTTTTGGTTCAGCTCTCCCACATCGTGCCCTCATCTGCACTAGAATGTGGGCTTAGCAGAGCACAGCCAATGCGTTCCCCAGGACATTCACTGTGCAAAAGGGTCCCAATAAATGCAAGCTGTGCACTTCCTTATTGTCAGCCTTTGGTGTCTGTGTGATGCCCTAAGCTGATACGTCTGCGTGGGGCTGGTATTTCGCAGCAGGAGATGAAGGCTCCTGTTGAGGATGGCTCCCCACAGCCACAGTGCCCCTCAAGCGCCTGTTTCTTCTTTTCCAGCAATCCCCCTCACTGCGTATGGACCCATGGCAGCAGCAGCCGCTGCGGCAGCCGTGGTGCGAGGGACAGGTAACTGCCACCTTCCCCCCCAGCGCAGTGCCCGGTCACAGTGTCCGGTCACGGAGGTTTGCAATGGGCTGCGGGAGGGGGGTGGGAACGGGGTTGCACTTTTGGGATCTTCACTCTGTAGTTCTGCTGCCTCCTGTAGGCTCCACCCCCAGTCGCACCGGTGGATTTCTGGGCACCACCAGCCCCGGGCCGATGGCAGAGCTTTATGGAGCCGCCAACCAGGACTCAGGGGTCAGCAGTTACATCAGTGCTGCCAGTCCAGCCCCGAGCACCGGCTTTGGCCACAGCCTAGGGGTGAGTGTTCTCTGCCAGGATCTGGGGAGGAAGATGGAAAGTGGCATGGCCAGGGAAGGGGCTGCATCTCCACGGGGTGATGGAGGTGGGCAGCTCTCAGCTCACAGCCTGCTTTCTGGTTAAGAAACATCACCTGCCACAGCATTTGCTATACTGCTGGTGAGCCCAGAGCACAGGTGGACAGTGCAGAATGCAGCAGTTCGCTTGGAGCTCGTGTCCCTGGTCTCCGCTGGCTTTCCCTGACCGTTCAAGGTCTTCACTTCCAGACCTTTCCCTGATCTGGCCCAGACTTCCTAAGAGCTCATCTTGGCCCTGATGCAGGGTGTTACGCTCTTTAGGTGCAGCACCTCCAACTGAAACCAGCCTTCCCAGCATAACTGGATATGTGGTCGTAATGCTTCACTTCTTAAGAGTGGGGTTTTAACTCTTTTCACAGGGTCCCTTGATTGCAACAGCTTTTACCAATGGGTATCACTGAAGCTGGGGACCAAGGAGGCAGGAGGTAAGAGCTTCAAACAGGAATGGGTAATGAGAGAAGTTCTGAGCTGGCCCCTGTGTTTGGGCACTCTGGGTGCTGCTGCGATGCTTCCTGGCCTGACCCAGCGTGCAGGAGGAGTTCTGTGCCCAGCCTGGGCTCCCTTCTGCACCAGCAGCTTGTAGGTTGAGTTTTTGCTTTATGCTTCTGAAGCTGGGAGTGCTGCAGAGGTCACCTAGTGTCTGGGTACAAAGAGGATGGAAACAGGAGCACCGAAAGAGGAAAGGTCTGCAGGGTTGGCCAGAATCACAACGCAGTAGTGGTCCTGAGGGACAAGCTTGGCTCACTTGCATGGCTGGGGAAGCCTCCTCCATGCAGCTGGTTGTTCTCACTGCTGCTGAGATCCCTGTCTCCCAGGATTGAGGTGGGATTGAGGTTTTTCCTCTCCTGCCTAGGAGAAGGGCAGAAGGAAAATCTGAGTCTGATCAGTTCTGTTTCTGCTCCTCGGATGGGCTTCAGAGGGAGCTGGTGGGATGGTCTCTGTTTGCTTTGCAAGTTAGCTAGCTTAAGATGAAAATGAATTAACCCCCTTTGCCAGCTTTTCAGTAAGGAGGGCAAAACCTTGCAGGAAGCAGTGTCCCAACAGGACACTCCAGGAGCGCTGGAGAAGCGGCTGGACCCTGGCAGGTCACAGGCCTCCCGGGGGCCAGCAGTGCCACAGGCCCAGGCAGGCTGTGCAGCATGTGGGGCCTTGTTCCACTATTAAAGGTGGAAGCATCTCTGCTGTGCCCCATCCCTGTGCCCATGCGATGCAGGGCAAGCCTGTGCTGGGGCAAGTTTGGGTGCTGCGTGTTTCTGTGAGATCACACCGGGAGAACACCCCAAGAGAAAAGCTGTTGGTTGTTCTCGATCCCGTCGCTTCCCTCCCCTGCTGTGTCCCGCAGATTCCCCAGTGACCTAACCGAGGACAGCGAGCGGCTGGAGGATGGGGTGAGCCTCGGGGGATGAGCCAAGGTTACCTTTTTCTTGAATCAAACTGCACACTGCCGGCTGGCTGCCAGGCTCCTGCCGCCCTGCCCTGATCTCTGCCCTTGACCAGACCACACTGGACTGAACCCAAGGAGATCATCTCGCTTTCTTACTAACCACCGACGGTTTACGCTTCCCCCCCCGCCCCCAGCCCACTGATTCTTCTTTTATTTATTTTAGTAGTGGTTAGGTTTATTTTTTTATTTTATTTTTGTATCTTTGGGGGGGAGGGGGGGGCCCTTACCCCTTCTTTTTGTTGTTTGCTCTTTCCCGAGCTAGTAGACCTATTTTATGAATTGGCTTTGTGATTGTGTTAGGTAGTTTTTATTGAGGAGTATTTTTATTTGGCTTTGAAACTGTTTGGAATATTTTCGACTCTGTTGTTGTTGTCGTCAGTGTTTTTAAAGCACGGTATGTGACAAGAATGCAGTTCTGAAGGGAAGAGAAGAGACGCAGAGAGAGCAAAGGCAGAGAGGAACTGCTGTATTTCTATTTTTTTTTTTAAAGAAACTGTTTTTAATTGTTTCTGTTTTGTAAATGTGAGGCTTTGAAAAGTGTGAAACTCCAAGGATCCGAACGCGTTGGACACGGCTATGGAACAGAACAAATGTATATTTTGCTAAGTGAGAAACACTATCCTTACAGCTGAAAGAGCTTGGGGGTTTTTGGGTTGTTTTGTTTTTTTTTTTTCCTTAGGTTTAGTTTTCTGTGGGGTTTTCTTTCTCCTCCTGTATAATATGTAAATATTGTGAGCTGAACCTGGCTGCTGCCTGCAGCCTGGCTCCCAGGAGCAGCACCAGGTCCTGGACCTGGTGCCGCAGCGTGAGCAATACTCTCCAGCAGAATCCTGACAGGACTCCGTTCTTTTTTTGTACACCTTTTACTGTAAGATTTTAAGACCTCTGTTGAGATGAAAGGGGGGGTGGGGGGGTGAAACGTACCAGCCATCGGCTGGTTTGCTGAGCGGGTTAAAGCTGCTTCCAATTGCTCGATGTACAGACTCCATCACTGGGCTCCGTAGTGCCAGCCTCTGGCTTGGCTTTAGGTAAAGGGCTTTAACGCCATTGCTTGTCTTGGTTACTTTGAAAGGAATTCACTCTCCAAATGCTATCGCTTGTGTCAAGATTTCCTGGGAAGGGGCTCCTCCTCTGGAGGTGAGGGTATTGGAATGGGTTTCAGCCAGGGCCAGGGGGAGGTTTGGGTGGTTGTTCTCTGAAGGGCAGGGCGCTGGGCTGGGGAGTCATTAATGGGGGAGGAAAGCATTAGGGTGGTGATTTGGGGGCGGGTTAAGGGCTTCTCAGGGATTATATGAATTATAGAATTGCAGCTTCCCGTTTGCTTTACTCTGTGTTCTAAAGACTGTGGGAATTTGTCCCTTCCTGTGCCAGGGGTGAGCTGGTCCCTTCTCCAGAACCTGCTGGGGCTTCCCCTGGTGTGATCCAGGCCCCTGCTAACAAACACTGTGCCAGGGGAGGTCTCCAGCAGCAGTACACGGGGCAGGTTTGGGTCTGGATTTCAGTGAACCAAAGACCTTGTTAAGGGGGGTGATTAAGCCTTTCATTAAGATGCAGCCAAACTCTTTTCCCAGGGAAATAACAGCTTCATCTTAAGTTTTAAAAATCATTCCCTCTCTTCCCCCAAACTGAGCCCCTGTAAGGGAGAAGGGCATTTAGGGAAGGACTGGGAGGGCCACTGTGCTCACAGGGTCCTCTTCACTTCCATCCTTTCCCTGTCTGCCAGAGCTTGTCCTGACCCAGGCGATGTGTTTGGAGAGTTCTGTTTAGGTAAAGAGGGTACGTAACAGATCAGTACTGAAAACACAAAGCAATAATTTTTGTTACTGAGACAAGAGTCTGTATGTCTGTTTTTTTAAATATTTCCTAATTAAAGAAGAGCTGCATTTTATTGGGTTTATTTTTATTCTATATACTTCAAATTTGGGTCTGCGGACAGCGCTTTCCTCTCTCTTTGGTAGACGCGCTGAGCTGCTTCCGTGCCCCCTCCAGACATCCAAGGCCAGTTGTGCTGCTGCTGGGCTGTGATCACTCTCTGGCCAGTGCTGCCGCTGCCTGGAGACTGGGGCTCCGGTTTCAGGGTGGGCATTTTTTTTAAAGGAATAAAAGCTGTGTTTTTAAGCCAGTAAGTTATTACACTCCCGTGTTTGTTCTCTCCACACCTGTAACCCTTTTTCCAGATTTCAGTTTTAAATTCCTAATAAATTATTTGAAAACTGTCCTTCTCTGTCATTATTTGGGGGTGGGAGGTTTTCGCATGGACATCTCAGGTGAACTTAGACCTAGCCAGACTCGCATCCTGCTATTACGATAAAAGCCCCAGGCAGGGCTCTCTCTTCTGCTCCCAGTCTTTGGAGTGGCCCAGTTTCTGATGTGCGGCAGGTCTGGTTTTAACAGATCATGTCTCTTCTTTATGTTCCAGAGGTTTTGTATGGATACATGTAGATTGAAGAAGGGAGAAGCTACTGTGGTGCTCGGCAGTTTGGTGGACCAAGGAGGCTTGATCCAAGACAGTAAAATGTGGAGATGGGAAGGGAAGAAAAGTCCTTAACAGACAGCCCTGCAAGAGGAAGGTGAATTGTGACAGTGTGAAATAGCAGGGAACCCTGCACAGCAGGTCTTAAATACAGACAAGTCTTAAAAATACCTTAAGGCTCAACCCTGTAAGTTTAGGAACCAGCTGTAAGTTGGGATGTCTTCACAAGCATACCAAGGACCAGAGGCTTGGTATGCAGCACAGGTTGGGGGAAGCCAAAAATAGCATTGGTGAAAAGCTTTTCCCTGCTGGGATTTTTCTCAGGAGGCATTCTAATAATGCTCACACGGCCACTTTCCCACACCTGGTGATCCTCTGGTTGAATACAAATGAGTGAAAGCCAAGATACAGCAGGTTTTTTTGCTTTGTGACTTAAAAAAAGCCAGTTTATTGGAAGGTTTTTTGCAATATCAATAATAAATTGGACGTTGAGAAGTGAGGGAAGAGGAACCAGGGTCTTAAGGTTCATAGGTAGGAGAACAGAGAAATAATAATTCTAAAAAGAGTAAAGGTGGCCAAAGCAGCAAAGGAGAAAGAAAACCCTTCAGTGGGTATTGAAGGGAAAGTCAGCAGGTTGATCTGTGGGCAAAAGATGAAATTCTTTTCTCTGAGCTGTGATACAGACTGTCCTTTACCACAGCCTTTAATGTGTGCTCAGTGTTCTATTACGATATGAGAATCTTGACTCTGTAATGCAGCATCTGTTTGGCTTTAGGTAACCTCTAAGTGGGGAATACCAGAGAAAAAGAGCTTAGGAGAGAGCAAAAATGTTAGAATGTTGCATGTCTAGCTTTAACTAGATGTCCTATGGACATGTCAACATCCCATGGATGTTATGGGCACCCTAGCATAGTTACAGACCCTTACAGAAATGTGCATCTGAACCTACTGAAGGGTGGCGGACCCCAGGTCTCCTGAATAAGCTCTCTGGTTTATTAGGCTGTTGTGGAAATGTGGGCTTTGCCTCTTCCTCCGCTCTGAAAAATGGAAGGTATTTTTGGTGCTATCAAGTGAGCTGTCTAGGATCTGTATCTTGAGTGTGTCAAAATGCCAAGCCTGTAGCCTTGACAGTGTTAGATCCTCTGGGCTCTAAACGCAAGTGCAGTGTTTGAACTTGCCCCCTGCTGACTCCAGAAAGCTTTTTCTTACCCGTTTTTTGATCTTTCAATGTTCCCAGCTTGCCTCATGCCTTGGCATAGAGAAGAACCAAAGGGCCTGACTGAGTTCTGCATTGGTGGTGGAGAAACTGCTGTCTCTAACCTGAGTCCACTGTGTGTTGAAACTTCTAAGCCCAGTTCAATTCCAGTGTAATTCTCTTACAGTCATGCAAACCCAGGCACTACTCCTTGTGTAAGCCCGACACAGAGGCTTTCCAGGTTGCCTTTGTTTCACGCCTAGTAGTACCTCCATCTCCTCTATGGTTTCAAAGTATAAAAAAGTTTGGGGTTTTTTTTCAGTTCAGCTTATGCTAAATAGTCATTTGGGGTGAGTGGATGACTTGTACTCTGTTCTCTGAATTAGGCAAGGAGAATCCATAGATAAATACAGCATTAACCGGTTAAGTGGGACACCATAAAAGAAGATGACAGTGTTAGCAGGATTGTTAATGGTGTGTGCCAGCAATTTCCAACATAACTACCACACTGCTACTGTTGTTGAGTAGAGAGTCCTTAAAAATGTCCAGATCTTTCACTTTCAGGCTGGCTTCTAATAGTAGCATTAGAAGAATTTGATAGCAAGAATCCAGAAAGCAAATATTTGCCTTCTTGGCTTTCACAGATTTAACTACCCTGGCCTTCAACTGGTCAAGTCACAACCTGCTGTCCACAGCCTTCCGAAGGAAGGAGCCTGCATTTAGTAACATAAATAATGGCTTGCTTATCTCATACCCATGTCAAGGTGAGCTGCTTGTATAAAACCCCAACTTTCTTCAGCACCAGCCTCTCCACCAAGTCCTCTGAGAATGAAGTCCCTGGTCCTGCTCCTCGTGCTGTCTGGTGGGTAGGTGGCACTCGCCGGGACTGGTTACACCGTTCCTCACTCTAACCTTTGTGTCTTTTCCCAGTGGGTGCAGCCAGCGGTGCCGGCTTATCCCGGGCCGTGTGGGAGTTCCGCAGCATGATCAAGTGCACCATGCCGGACAGCCGTCCTCTGCTGGAACTTGCTGACTACGGCTGCTACTGCGGCTTGGGAGGCAGCGGAACACCGGTGGATGACCTTGACAGGTTCGTAGGACTCCGCTTTTACAAACCCCTTTCCTTCCTTATGCTTTCATGGTTCTGGCCCTGCCTATAAATGTTCACCCAACTCTCTGGCTGCTGTGAATGAAGCTCTCTCCCAAAGACTGATTCAAGGAAAAACAGACGTGCAGTCTCACACCTTGATGCCGTATTACTAAGATAAAATATAATCCAAATAACTCTGTTTTCTGTGGCAGTTATGCTGCACTTATTCCAGCTCTTTTTAATGCAGCAGTGCTGGGCCAGGAGCCTGGATGCAGCTCTGCTCCCACTGCTCCATGCACAGCAACCAACACCTGCAGGGCTGAGCTGTAAAACACTAAGCAGCAGCATAGGCAGTTTAGAGATCACCCAAGTCTGATGGCCAGGACGCAGTGAGTTGTGCTGGCTGTCAGCTCTTCAGTGACCTGGCACCGATAGGGCACATAGGGTAAATGCTGGCTTTTGCTTTCCTAGTGCCCAGCAGACAACCGTAAAGATGTTCCACTCAGTAGATGTGTATCAGGCACCTCCTGGAGCATTAGCTGGCAGAACTGTGCCCCTTTGAGATCCTTTGTATCTGCCCTCCTACCAATGAGTATCTCTTTTTGTGTTCAGTGACTAGTCTAGTCAAAGCAGTATCAGTGTATTTACGTGTCTTACAGTTCAGATGTGTTTCTGGTATTTTCTGACCTTTCCCTCCTTGTTTTCTAGGTGCTGCCAAGTACATGATAACTGCTACTCGCAGGCAAAGAAACTAGAAGCCTGCAGATTCCTGGTGGACAACCCCTACACAAATTCATACAGCTTCAGCTGCTCCAGCGGGCAGATTACATGTAAAAGTATGTCCACTTCCACATCACTCCAACCATCACTCCAGCCTCTCTTCTGAAGGAATGGGGCTATTACACTCCACACTTCTGTGGCACGATGGCGCTGGGCAAGTCCCTGCCAGGGGGTTGGTTGTTAGACACAGGGCACCTCACACAGTCCATCTACCACACAGTTCCAAGTTTATTAAGATATATGGTATCAGCACATAGGGAAAGTTGTCCCCTCTTCAGGGGATTGAGTGGCACTTTTCTGCTAGTCCTTTAATGCAGTAGTTAAGAGATCGGCGTGCTAACTGGGAAGTCACATCCCTAATGTAATGGTGGAGCTTTCCAAGGGCACTGGAATGGGGATGAACAGCGGATAGGCTGGCAAAGGCCTGCAGGGAAGGAGAAGAGGGGGTCTGGCTCAGTTTTGCGGTCGCACCCCCAAACCGACGGCAGCAGCGGGAGGGCTGCGCCCCGGCAGCACAAAGGTACCGCCATGGCTGCCGAAGGGAGGAGCTGCGGGTCTGACCGCTCCTGCTCTCTCCTGCAGGCAGCAACAACGAGTGCGAGATGTTCATCTGCAACTGCGACCGCGCCGCCGCCATGTGCTTCGCCACGGCCACCTACCACCCCGAGCACAGCAGGCTGGACACGGAGCGGTACTGCCGCTAGCGCCGGGCCGTTCCCACCGCAATAAACACCTTGCAACGCCCGCGGGCCTCGCTGCGCCGCGCTGAGGGAGCGCCTGGGGATGGCGGGGGGGGAATGGAGGCGTGTCTCTGCCGACGGCCCGCTGCGGCGGCCCCGCCCCGCGCTCTCTGATTGGCCAATGGGAGCGGGCGGCGGGAGCAGGTGCGTCCCGCGGGGCAGCCCCGCCTCCCTGCGCGGCAGCCCCGCCTCCCTGCGCGGCCCCACCACCTCCGCTGAGGTACCGGCGGGGCCGCGCTCCCCCCCTGAGGTACCCGCGGGGCCGCGCTCCCCCCTGAGGTACCGGCGGGGCCGCGCTCCCCTCTGAGGTACCCGCGGGGCCGCGCTCCCCCCTGAGGTACCCGCGGGGCCGCGCTCCCCCCCTGAGGTACCGGCGGGGCCGCGCTCCCCCCCTGAGGTACCCGCGGGGCCGCGCTCCCCTCTGAGGTACCGGCGGGGCCGCGCTCCCCCCCTGAGGTACCGGCGGGGCCGCGCTCCCCCCCTGAGGTACCGGCGGGGCCGCGCTCCCCTCTGAGGTACCGGCGGGGCCGCGCTCCCCCCTGAGGTACCCGCGGGGCCGCGCTCCCCCCTGAGGTACCCGCGGGGCCGCGCTCCCCTCTGAGGTACCCGTGGGGCCGCGCTCTCTTCTAAGGTACCTGCGGCCCAGCGGCTGCTTACCCTTGCTAGGGTCTCTTCAGGTCTGCCCTCCCGGGAAGCGTGGAGCACAGCCGCTGCCCCTCGGGCTGCCCCCGTGTCGGCTACCGCGCTGCTGCCCCTCTTGGGGGTGTGTATCCCTCGGGGTATGGCTCTGTGAGGGGCTTGAGCCTCTGGCTGTTAGCTGCTCTGGGAGACCCTTATGAGAGAGGCCTGTGCCTGTCTAGCGCTGTGCGTCCTCAGGAGCTGGAGGGAAAGGGGAGACGTTGTCCTGGAAACCAGAGGAGGGCAGGGAGCCTCTCTAAAG